CAGAAACTGAAGAGAGAGGCTAAAGTCCTGCTGGTGTCCAAAAGGGAGATTTGTGTAAGTTTTGGTATTTACTTTCTCGGCTATCGAAGGCTCGTGTGTGAGATTTAATGGAGTTTCACCCGTTTTACGTCCATGTGAAAAACGCGATATGAAATGAAGTGAAAGCACCTTGCGAATTACGCCGGATAAATCACTCCATATCACGTGAAAAACATCACGAGTTTTACTACACGTTATTCGCTGCTCACTTGCGTTTTTCGTGAAGTGAAATGTGAAATATGTTTCTCATATCACGGGTGAAACTTCGATGTCAGAGTAATGCATGTTCGCTTGCCTCAGCTGAGCTCAGGAGTTTGCTAATTATGTTATTAAAATTTACACGCGTATTAGGGTAGGAGTGGACAGAAACCAACAAGAATTTTCCAGGAATTTTCATATTGTCACCAACACGTGTAGTTGATTATATGCATATTCTTTATGACTGAGCGCACTCTAGTGACCGAAGTGGAACAACCGTGTGATGCACTTACTTGTGAGAAATTCCAACTTTCGATGGTTATGAAGAGACGTATGCCTTTTTTTCAGACTAGAGATGATCATGTGATGAACATCTACAATAGATTGCGAATTGGCGACATGTAAGTTTCAGTGTTCGAGGAATATATGTTTGGTTTTCTCAGCTGATCTCGGGAGTTCGCTCGCTAATTATGGAAGTTCGGGCGCGAATGTTCAGAAACTAACAAGAAATTTCTAAAATTTCCTCGGGAATTTCATAATACATGTACATGTGCATATTGATCGTGTGGAGCTGGCCATGCTTCCTTGCTCAGGATGGCTACACATAGCCGCCAGCCGGGACCATATCAGTTCGAGGGCCCGTTATCAGAGAGTTTGACTATATCCTTATTAGCGGCTTATATACCTCCTGAGGGTAAGAAGAAAAAAATTTGTCGGCTTTGTAATTTCGCATGTTACGATGGTCGCGAGTCGTGGAGGGGTGAAGAGATCTCTGTTATGAACTAGCTAAAGAAGATATGAATAGTTACATATTTACAATGCGGTGTGGGAAAACGTACACATGGTGACATTTGTGGAAACTCTGGGAGGAAATTTTCGTTGATTTTTATGAACTTGTACTCGAATTTGTTTGTTAACCTTTATAATTAGTGAGGAAACTCCTGCACTCAGTTGAGGAAAGCGAACTTTTATTCCAACACTGGAGTTTCACCACCCTAGTGATATGAAAAACATATTTCACGACTACTGCATGCAGTGAATTTCGCCAAATTTTACACCACTTCACGTAAAACGGGTAAAACTTTAATGTGTAATTAGGGTAGTGAGATAATCTCGCTACTCACGGGAAAGGCCTCCTGATTGTCCCGAAGCAGTCTCGCATTGATTGAGCGATGATTTGCATTCCAACCTATGTGTTATCGGACATGTAACGTGTGTGAATGAGATCGGTACTTGTTGAATCTCACAGTGTGGTTTTATAGCAGCAACAGGTCCACTGTCGGTATGTAGGTTCCTTATGAATCGGAAATGAATTTGTGAAAAATTTGTAATGAGATTTTTTATCGTTTTCGCTCATCCGAGTCGACTGAGACACTTAAAACGAACCTCACTATCCTCAGAAACTGTCATGTGGATTTTAGATATCATCACAAGACTAGAAGCATTGCCATGTATTCCTCCGGGAACGCCAACACGGAAAACATTCTTTCACATAACTTCTCGCAGTGGCCTTCTCGCAGGTGAATCTACTGCCCAGTTCACTTCCTCGAGCGTTATTGTTCATTATCGTTCAGGAGTTTTAAGTGCTTGAACATAAGCATAGAAACTCACATGGGAATTCGGATGAAAGTATACAGAAAAATTTCCGAAAATTTTCTCAGAATTTTGATACTGTCATGACTACGTGCATATTTTCTCTCACGTTGGCAACAGCATTTATTGGACAACAAAACGTGATTTCTTCATTTTGAAGTTTCCGAGCTAACGCAGGTGGCCACAGGTACACGAACTGGTATAATATCACTACCGTGGAGATACGGTGGGTTGTCCCCACTACAGGAAGAGAGGCTCGGGTAAAGTCTTCGTGTCAGTGTTGGAATATATGCTCGCTTTCCTCGCCTGAGTTGAAGAGTTTTCTCAATTCTGGTAGAAGTGTACAGGAACCGGAAAGAAATTCGCAAAATTTCCTCAGAATTTTCATATTGTCACCGACATATGTGAGTGACCATATGTATTTCTTAACATTGTTCGGAATGAAGAATCAACGCCATTCATCGTGGAATAGATCAGAATATTAGTTGCTAATTAGTTTTTGACAATTCTGGAGTAGACTAGACAACTTGCTTGGGTGTACGTTGGAGTTTCACGACCCGTTTTACGTGAAGTGGCGTAGTAAAACTCGGTGAAAAACGCGATATTCGCGGTGATATGCAGTAGTCGTGAAATGTGTTTTTCACTAGTGTTCTTCATATCACTAGGGTGCATTACTTTACATCGCGGTTTTCTTTGCTCTATATGATCGCGACAGTAGTTCCATAGTGATTCTCATTGACGAGAATGATCCTGTTACGCCGGTGAAGTTGTCGCTCACAATTTTATCTGTCTACTAGTCTCGAAATTGTGAGTGCGCCAAACAATGGAGTTTCACCCGTTTTACGTGGAGTGGCGTAAAACGCAATATCTGCGCCTTGCAATAGTCGTGAAATATGTTTCTCACTCGTGTTTTTCATATCACTAGGGTGAAACTCCAATGTATCCGACTCGACTTTATTTTTTCACTTGATAAGATACAAACCCCTCCTGCCAAGATCGCTCACAAGCGGTTTCTGTGTTGTCACCGATCGTCACCAAGAATCAACACCAAGACGGGCCTCCGTATCACTACTCAGGTTGGCTTTCCCTCATACGTAAGTGTAGTGGCTCCCATTTCGTTGATTACCCTTTTCTAAGGTGCGATGTGTCGGCGGTGAGCATCGGCGCTCAACGAGGAGGGGAAGTTCCTGGGGAGTTCGCCGCGTCAGGGAATGGTCATTCATCACCGCATTTCTCGCAAACCAGAAAGGTGACGATGTGGTATTGAAAATTGTTTTAGTAATTTTTCAGATTCGCTCTCAAACTGTCGCGGTGGCAGATTTGGATGTCAAATTCCCCACTGAAAAAAGAATCACATCTGTGAGGGAAGAGCAAAACGAAGGCGATGAAGGTAAGCTCGTCGCGGTTGACTTGGTATTAGAACTCAAACGCTGAACTTGTATAGAGCAGTTTTGGAATATGTTTGTTTTCTCAGCGGAGCTCAGGAGTTTTAAGGCTACATTATGAAAATTTACGCAAAATTTGAGGTGTGAGAAAATTTACAAGAATTTTCCTGTTGTATTCATGAACAGTTGAGCATGTTCGTTACTCTGTAGTTCGTCTCAGACCGATCGGAATCATTGACCACTGAGGTGGGAGGCGGCTCAAACATGATGAGGAAACACAGCTTATTCAGTTTGTAAGAGTCCCTACACGAGTTCAAGCCCATGGTGGACTCGTTTATAGATTCCACACTACTACTTTACGTATCGGTATCGTATTCTTGGGTCGTCAGTCACCTGGATGCCACAACATAGTTTGGGGGCTCAAGTCGTATGTGGATGCTCAGCCTGGAGGTCAACTCATTGGCATCGCCCTAGGGGCTTTGGGATTCGTAATTGATCAGCCTCATCTGATCAGGCTGATGTTCAGAATCATTGTCGTCAGGTGAAAGGGTATACTGTGAATTTGGACTCGGATCAGTTGCTTTCGCTGTATCGTAACCAGTCAGGACTAGACCTCCTGGGAAGAACTGATCTCACTTTGAGAACTACCGAAGATCTCATCGCGTGCGCACGTATGGTTTCATCATCATCATCGCCATGCATATCGTAGTTTTGTTTTTCTCGAGGTACTTGCCAGAAACTGTCTCTAGACGGTGTCGTGGTGGTTGGCGGTGTCGGCACTCATGCTGATTCTGCCCTACTCGCAGAGACGATGGCAAAAATGCAAGTCTCAACTAAAGTCATTGGAGTAAGTACGGTTCGGGAAAACGGCATTCAGATTTTCTTTCACCAGGTGCCAGCGTCTGTTGAAAATGACATACCTCTGGTAGAACAGACCCTCGGTTACGACACTGCATGTAAAGTGTTTTCTAATATCATTGGCAATATTGCAACGCTCGCAGCGAGCGGAACTCGCGAATGGTAAGTATTATCTTCAGAGAAAAGGGAGCTTGTGCTGGCTTTGTCTCAGGTACTTCATTCGTATCTGTGGACGCTCTATGAGCCATATCGCCGCTGAATGCGCACTGCATGCTCATCCGAACTTGGTAGGGTGATGATCAATGAAGATTGTAACCCTCAAATCGGTGAATTCAAATTTGACAGTGTTGCGACTGACTTGCAAAATGATCAGCATCATGGCAATGTGATCGATAAGAATATTACGATTCCTATGAACAATTTGGTTTGCCCTGTTTTTGGGTAGCGGCGTACGCGAGGTCACCGATAGTGACTGTCTAGCATACTATGAGTAGACCTAAAAACCAATGTGGGAATATGCAGAAGTGTTGGTGACAATATGAAAATTATGAGGGAATTTTGACAAATTCTCATCGGTAGACTTCTACCCCAAGTCGTATGTAAACTTGTATAATTAGTGAGGAAACTCCCGAACTCAGCTCTGAAAAGCGAACATATATTTCACCATGAACGGCGCTCAAACATTATCAAGGAAAATAGAGATGTGTTTCTTCTATTTTAGTTTTTGATTTCTGAGGAAATTCGAGCCCGGAATATGAGCTTGCGCGATCTGATCAACTTAGTATGTGATGTGATTTTGAAGAGATGTCAGCAAGGAATGGACTATGGTGTGGTAAGAATCCGCATGGCCCTTATAATCCACGCTATGATCTCTCTCATTGGAGGTTCTTATTCCAGAGTCGGTCACAGACGCTCTCGACGAGTTGAAAGAACTTGAAGAAGAGGTTGAGAATCGACCGGGTCTGCCGTCTTGAGAAGTCTACCGTAGATACGATCGATGCACGCACAAGAACATAGGTTGTTGATGAATGCCTCTACTGGTGTGAAGCCAAGCACGATGCTCCATCGAAGTTTGTTTGAGACGCTGAGTCCGAGCGCTAGAGCCATGTAGGCTTTGGTCTTCGCGGTGATGATGTTCATTAGTATACTGCATTCGAATCAGTGTGGTGAAGTTTGCACATGGTCAACCACATGTGTTGGTGATAGGATGAAAATTCTGAGAAAATTTTGGGATTTTCTCTATGGTTTCTGTACACTTCTAATCGAATTCGTATATAAACTCATATGATTAGCGAGCTAAGCTGAGGGGAGCGAACTTATACTCCTACTCCAACACTGGATCGAATATCCACGAAAGTCTTACCTGATCAGTTTGTGGTTACTAATACGTCTCATAGGAGTAATCTTCACACTTCTTTGACAAGAAATGTGGCACATTTCGAGACTCTTACATCGGCGCTCACTAAAATTTGAGAATATATGATTCCCTTTAGTCGCTCTGAGCTGATTCAAAATTCTCTGTCTGTGTTTTTACGATTACATTCGGAGGACGTTGAGATGAATTTCTGTCGTGAAGTTCTTTTACTTTTTGCGAAGTGAGTCGTTAATGAATTTCCAGGTACGACTCTCTACCTGATAGAATCCAATATGGTATATGGCAACAGTAAGTAAGCAACAGTTTCCTCGGTTGCTGAATGGCATCAGATACGTGGCAACGCTTTCTGGGAGCCAATACGAACTGCCCCATTTGGAGTCTGAACTGCTACTCAAGTCGCTGGTGGCAATAGAGTTGCCCAGAAGACGGTGAGTTCGCAGATATCACAATCGCGAGTAAGAGAGTCGACTTTCAGACATCGGCTACTACAAGAGAATCCACTACTACCACGACTACTGGGCAACAGGACCATTGATCACTTCACGGATTGTTGCCATACTCACAGCTTGCATATCCAGGGTCGCAGCGCGATGCCTTCTAATTTTGACGCGGACCTGGGGTAACCGATGATTGTGATAGACTCGTGCGTAGAAGCTGCATTTGACTTTTATGTACACTATGGGCTATGGTGCGGGTGTTCTCATACACGCTGAGAAGGGAGGTCTTCTGGTTAGTGTTGAAGGGCTCGATAAAGATGTCGCTGATTGGACAGTGGTTGGAGTAAGTCACGAATATTTCGCGGAAAATCGGAGTATGTTTTCTCCATGATAGATTCCTCTCGATTCGCTGGTTACGGTATCACTAGATGAGGACAATTCGGAATGTCATGTGAGTTTAGGGAAGAGAAGTGTCTGTGTGTAAACTGAGAACAGGTTCACATAAAACAGGAAGCTCTGCATGTGTTCGCGGATGTGCGTACAAACCACATCCCGAGAGTCTTATGCGACTTACCTGAACCCAGTAAACGACGCTTTGTGAATATCGGACCGGTGAGCCAGAGGTTGCAATAGGGAATATATGGACATTGCCTCTTAGTTACAATACAACATTCCTGAGGTCTCTCGTCAATGCGTGAGATCTTTAAAGTTGCGCAACCTAGGAGGGCCACCAAGTAGCATCTCGCACGAAAGGAAGGTAAACTTAAATTCACTATTCCTGTCAAATGTTGTCAGAGCCAGTGTTGGAGTATATGTCCGCTTTTTTCAGCTAGGTTCACAAATTTTCCACACTAGTAACAGAAGTTTACATACGAATCAGTTCTTGGTGAAATGTACATATTGCGATTTATCATCTCTCAGGGGTCTTCGGGCTCATCGGAAGCTATTAAAGCGGTACGCAAGAGTGCGCATAAATCGCATTCTAGACGGAAACATATTGATACAGCTTCTGAACCGCGAAGAGAGGAGTCCAGGTATTCCGCTATCTAGAAGAGTTGACTACCCCATTATCGTGGTTGCCCAGGTCTGAGATCTACCGCCCCCCTGGGGCGCATTATCGAGTGGTGAAAGTAGATATCAGAGAAGTTACAGAAGCTGTGAAATCTGAGTAACCTTGTGATCATTTTTATATCGCAGAAAAGTATTTTCTTTTTGTCACTAGCGTTGAGTATATACCATAATGTGAACACTTCTCGATTTTCAATTTAGCTCTTCATCCCGGTACTGAACACAGAACTAATGATCAACGAGGGGCAATTGATTAAGAACCACACATCGCAGCTATCATTACAAACACTGTAGCAGCTGACAGTAATTATAACATTGCAAACGAAGTTGAATTAATATTCGTACAAGAAACACGCCCTCCGGTGGATTGGAACTCAGCTGGAACTACTACAGCCATATCTTGTTCTCCTTGATAAGTATCTGTTTTAAACCTGCTTTCCGAACGGGTCTTCCCCGAGAGACCAACTTCACTATTTCTCGCAGTTGAAAAAGGATGCTCGTGATGCGCATTCTTTCTTCTGCGTTTGCATCGATCGACAGTTCATGCCTGGCCAGGAGAGACTGTTACGATACATGCGAGAGATAACATTATATTTTACACTGGATGGGGATTTGCATGGCAAATGATGTTGATCGGTGACCAGAGCCGAAACGCTTTCATCAGCCACGCACTCAACGGATCGCCGTCAAGATGATAACTCGACTAGTGGTTCATAGAAAATCACTCCTATCGAATGGAGAATGGAGAAAAGATATGAAGAATGAAAATGATAACTCATTCCGAGCCCAGGGCCATCAATGTTGTACGTATATAGACCGACTACAGTATAGACAGCGATAGACGAATGTAGGCCTGTATTATAGGCCCACAAGACACCAGCGAAGACCGGCCAATCACAGAAGGATCTGAAGACTGATAATTGTCTTGAAGTGCTTACGAACGCGGAGTCGCATTGAGGTTATATAAACCTCCGGATGGCTTCCTGTACGGTGCGAAGAGGGTTTATGGCACCACCTCCGACTCGTAGAGTTTGAGATGTGTCACTCTTGACCGGTTCCACTCCCAACAGTATCAAACGCTTTACCATGATCGGCTCCATGCTCATCGAAAGAAGGATAGCAGCGAGGCCAGCAACGAGCGGAGCTGCCACTGATGAGCCGCTGGATCTCTGCAGGGTACCGTCTGCGTAACGACCGACGAGGGTTCTCGTCCCATAAGCAGCAACGTCAACCCTATCCCCCCAATTTGAATACTCGTGGAGAACATTCCGCTTCTTGTCATCATCCAGAAAGGCTACGCAGATACCGAATGGGCCACCGTACGAACAAGGAAAAATTTGACTGGCGTCGATACCAGCATTCCCAGCTGCAGATACGAATATTATATCATTCTCTTCTAGAAAGTAGAGGGCGTTCATTAACAGATATCTTGATTCCTGAGTTAGGTCATCGAGAGAAAATCCGAACGACATGGACACGATGTCAACCTCCAGATCGATTGCCATGTCTATAGCTTCCAGCACCCTAGAAAGGTCGAGCCTTCTCTTGATTGCTATTTGTAGTGGCACCAATGTTACATTAGGGGCGACCCCCGCCAAACCGACGGAATTGTTGCTCTTGGCGGCAAGGAGTCTGCAGATGTGGGTCCCATGTTCAATAGGGTCCGTCAAAACAGACGAGTCAGTGACGAAGTTCCATCCCCCGTCCACAACGCCGCCGCTCCTCTTCTTTAGAGTGGCCTTCAAGGGGGCGAAATCTGGATCGGTCCAGTCAATGCCAAAATCGATAACGGCGACCTTGACAGCCCGTTGGACATGAGGGAGAAGGAGCTGCCATACTTCGCCCATTTTCATCCACTTCAGATGCCTTTGGAAGCGAGCATCGCGATCGTTCACATGAAGGTCCTTGTCGTATTCGTCGCTATCTGGTATACTGAAGATTTCGGCATATTGATCAATAGCGCATTCGGAACGCAGAGCTAGATTGCGGCTGGCTGAAGTCACGAAGCTGCAGAGAGCACCGCTATCGATGCTGGAAGCTGAAGTCTTGACCACTTGAGTATGGACGTACTCGAGACTCCTGATCTCAGTGGTATCCAGGAAAGCGACGATCTTCGGGTCGGGTGTGAGACCGGCATCCCTCAGCATTTCGGGCAGATGACGAACATCGACGTAGTCAGCTCCGTGCTTGATGGAAATTAGAGTGGATCTCTCGGAATAGGCGAGAACGGCGAGCGACGCGAGATGAATGACATTGGCGAACATTTTTAGTCACTGCTGCTACCTAAGGAGACAATCGGCCCGAGCGTTGGGGCAAAGTACAAAATCCAAGGCGAAGGACAAAATCCAAGGCGGTTGTCTTCAGAGACAGAGCGAAGCGGGTGAGACTTTTGCCCATTGTGCGTTTCGGCCAGCGGGTTCCTACTTTTTCTACGATATTGGGGATACTCGAAGAAACATCAGGTGAAAGCGGCACGCAGTGAAGTAGTTGAAATACAGGTACAATCCAACTGTAAGCTCGGAGAAAAACGAAAGAGAGAAAAATCGAAGAGCTCGGAAGAACAAATCGCGCCACGAAGTCCCTTGACAAATCGCCTTTGCCCCAAATCGCCGCTCGCTTCGAGTTTCGGCCCGAGTCCTTAAATTTCGGTTACCCGCCTTGGAACTTGGTCAGCATTCTTGGATTTTGATCATGTGTCTCGGACTCTGGGTGCCACGGCGCCACGCGCCGCTGAGTGGAACGTGGCCGTAACGGAGACTTCTACGGAATCACGCAGCGATGCCGAATCGCGAATGTAAATAAAAAGCACGAAGAGTTACCAGTTTCCGATCAAGACCCTTGATCCGAGTTTGTGGGCAGTCCACTGCGTAGTATTGCGCTACTAGAGAGTAGACGGCGTATGATTCCGCGGCGTAAGCTTCCGCCTACGGAGGAGGTGACACCGTGATATTGGGCTGGTAGAGCGCGCGTCACATTTTTTCTACTCGAGGACGTCGCACCACTAGATGAACTTCATCTGATGAAATGAAGTCTAGGGATTCTGTCCACACTAAATGCGACATCTCACTTGATAAGATCAGAACAAGTTGAGGACTGGATTTCCGTGTTGCAGCTCAGTCATTGGCATAGACTAGGTAAACTAGGATATCGTAAGAAACTCTCACTTACTAATACTCAACATTATCGATGCACATGAATCGTGGACATCAGACGTATGGTGTCTAGACTCCAGCCCATGTGATCAAAAAATTGTCAGCAATACTCATCGCGAATCCTCTCATCAGATCTTCGCAATAGAATTTACAACACGCATGTCTCTATACAAGGCGTCGAAAAGTCTGTCTATATCCTCGAGTATCTCGATGTGAGCACCGCTCCGTGAAGATATTAGATGTACTGGCTCTAGGACTTGAGCCTTCCACAATAATGATCCTTGGGAAGAACGTATCGCTGACGCTGTGAGAACTGTCGGAGGCCCTGTCGGAGCGCCTTCGGTGGATATCTTATCGCTCGAAACATCCAGAACTAGATCGCAATCTCCTTGCGTGATACATCGTGGAGATGCAAGCTGCATCTGGGATGTTCCCGGGTCACCGTCACAGCGGCTCATAGCATTTTCCTTATCCATCGATCCATCTTGCGAGTGAAACAGCAGCGATAACGAACCGTTATCTACTATATGCTCCAAATCGTCTGGCGAATCCTCAAGATGTGGATCCTCAGCAGATCCCTCGATTGATTCAGACTCTTCAGAATTAGCGTCCTTCAATGAGTCGGCGTCCTGACACTCTGTGTACAACCTGGTTTCGCCTAGGCCCGTCTCTTGTGAGCCAACCAGGCTCTCTCTACTGGTAGACGTACCTTCCGTCGGTGAGGGTGACACAGCGAGTCGATCAACCATCGCATGTCCCGAACCCTGGTTATCATCCAATAGTTCATTTGTGAATGTTAAAGTACTAGCGTCGTGCTGCTCCTTATGCGACAACCCAGTCGTTGGGCCTTCTGAACTTGCGGGTGGACTCGTAGGGATATCGCCAGACGCGACTTTCGGGCTTGACTCGTGAGCCACGTACTCCTGAGTCTGCGTCTCTACTGGCTTTGTTGTGATTTCCTCCATAAATGGAATACATTGCTTATCAACCACATCGCTCACGTTGCCAGCGAAATTGCTATTCTCTCTCCGACTGACTGTTATCTTTCTTGATGCTTGCCTGAGGTCAGCAGAGCTCAATGACTGGCACCGTGCTAGCTGTTCTGCCACTGCAACTTTCCCACACCGTGTCCTAGCTCTAGCAGCAACCCCTCCCTCTATACAAAGTGACACATCTGACCGACGCTCTGCATGCCGCAACGTCAAAGGTTTATCATGCTCCGCTCTCGTTACACTTCGCTGCCTCGGTCCCTTCATGGAAGGACTCAAGTTGAACAACAATGTTGTGGTCGGTGTAACTGAAATGTCTACGTGTTTCCAGCGCTATATTCCATCCGTCCACCTGAATGGAAAGCGAGGTTCTGTGGAAGGTCGACTTGGTAGTCACTTGACGCCACATTGTATGGGCATGGGCACTCGCACATGATAATCTTCCGTATCTATTCACTCAAATATTTAGTTGATAATAATAATCGAATCGGATGATTGATATCAATGATAATTGATCGCCTCTTCCTAATAAAAGATGATGGGTATAGAGGTTGAATATCGAAGCTTTCGAATCCACGCGACGGCTGATCCGAGATGAATTCCAAGAAGGTCATAAGTTGACGATCTTACCAGGCACGAGCCAGAGAGGGATATGCTCTCCAAAGCTTCATAACTCTCCTTATCATGGAAATGCCTCTTGCAAATGGCATCAAGGTCAATGAATACGTTCGCCCAAGTTTGAAGTGAAGCGACTCCACTGAGAGGCACCCTGAAGAGAAGCATTTTCTCCTCATCCTAGCGAGCGTTCAAAGCACGCCAACTGTGATAGAAGTGAGAACTTGGATATGCAGCTCAGTAAAGTTTTCAACCACTGCGCAATGCGCAGTGCGCATACAGTGTTTACTGGACACTTGTAGCATTCACGGTCCCTGCCTCGCTCTGCGGACCACTGCGTGCTTTCTCGCGGAATGCCGTGCTGCAGTTTACGCTGAACCTGCGGGGCTAAACGCTATGTGGCTCTAGACTTCGAGGCCCCAGCGAAGAGTGATTCGGACAGATTTCGAGGGTTAGCGAGCTCACCTGCGCTTTGCGGCTAGTCTAATAATCATTGATATCGTAATCGGCTGGTGGTCTGTAGCTTGTGAACTTTTACAGTTGATAATATCGCGTTCCAGGATCGGTCGGAGCTGCAAGGCATGGCCACGACTCGAGATCCTCGGACAATAACTGAATGCCGCTGACCTGTATCAGTATGGTTGGTAGCTTTGAAGGTAGGAGCATCCCAGTCGAATGAGTTAGGGAGGGATCCCCGCTTGCGAGACCACGATTGGCTTTCGGTGGATATGACACCAACGGTTTCTTGCCAGCCTTGCAGCCTTTGGGAGCCAATGAGAGCACGAACGACCTGCGTCGTATGTGAGCATCGTCAGTCTTGTCGTATGAATGTATGATGAATGCTTACCGCGAGTCGGTATCGTATTTCCGTCGCGCTTCTCCAACGGGCTGTAAACCCTCCCAGTTCAAAGCGGGTTTAGTTCCCCCCAAGCTGAGAAGCTCGATAAAGTTCCGCGAGCCATATGTTTTCTCTGGGGACTTGGTTTGCTTTGACTGCAGCGAGATAGACATTTCGCAAATGAACTCTTGTGCATTCCACACGGCGGACAATGAAAAACGAAAGAGCTATACCAGCATCAGCGGACAATCTATATTTACAGTTGCGTGTGCTCAGCACAATGTAATCTGATCAAGGGAAATTGCCCTGAGCTAGTCTGGACCTCTCAAAGTATGTACATAGGGAAGGTTGCAGGGCTCATCAGAACTTCTGCCTTGTAGAGGACGAATCAGAATGGTATACGAAAATGTGAGGCCTTCAACCCTGCCACTTAACCCGTCCCAGCTGTAGAGAACTCCACGGGAGACAGCGCAGGATCACTGTGTAAATTTAAATGTGGCGGAGGAAAAAATCTGAAAGCCTGTTTTCTCGATGAGGAATGCGAACTGTTCCACAAAGCTCAGGCTCTTTAGGAGCTCTTTGAATTTCTGATCTAATGAAATGTGCACTCATGTTCACCACGAGACAGCCGATTTGCTGAGTCAGCACATCGGATGTGCTTTGTTCTCTGCGCGAGTGATGCCTCGAATCTCCAGAAGAGGAGTCCTTTTCAAGGACAGTGTCATTAGATGCTCTCATGCATCATCGCAAGTTACATATTGCAGCCCAGAAAGTTCGTGCCCTGATGCGGCGGGTCACGATTGGCCCGGAAATTACTGACATCAAACTGATGTCTCCATCAGCGAAATCGACTCACCTGATCACGAAATTGAAGGCTTATTTGCGAGAAATACTACTCAAACTGGAATCTCTATTTGCAGCCTATCGATGAAGTTCAGCGGCTGAACCTAGTTCCTTGTTCGGTGATATGATGTACTCATAATAAACTCAAAAATCTCAAGTTGAATCCTAATTCGCGAACACATAGGGCTCAATAGCCAAATAGTTATCTCTCAGGGGAACGAATGATTCGCGGCGAGTAGCATCCTTCCAAATGTTGTATGTAGAACTATGCCACGAGAATGGCGAATCCAACTGAAGGTCTTCTCACGGAGCGGTCATAAAAAGACCAACAATGATGGAAGGCATTCGGCCGTAGACCGTCAATTTAAAAGAAGAAATTGCCTATGGATACCGCGATCGAGCAACGTACGAACGGGAAAACTCCAGTCATTCTCTTTGCTCTCGGCGATAATGACTAGAGTCTAGTCACTAGACATATATCATTGTGATCCACGGCATAGTTCATGAATGTCATCGTAAATGGGGTTAAGCCCTGAGGGCATAAGGCAAACATCAACAGTGGCAACTGGCTCATGTATTGGCAAGGGAGGGACCATGTCTCATCTTTTGAATCGAACTTGAAATCGATATGCTTATCCGCAGCCTTGTTAGTTTGAGATCCAATAACCTTGATAAGACGATCATAGTATGAATCCGGGACATATAGATAGTTGGCGCCGGTGTCGAGGTCTAAGTTCATATTGATACCACAAGTCATAATCACATCACCGACTCGTAGCTTGGCAATATTCATCCTGTAACCTTTGCCCATAGAAGAGTCGACATACTTCAGTGCTCCCTCATATAATGCAGGATCGCTTCCACCCAGGAGTGGCCCACCATCAGTGGATGCCCCCGTGGGATCAGTTGGAGGATACAAGTAGAGAGCAATGATATCGGACATTATAGTTTTCGATGATCGCAACTGCGTCACCAGAGACGGGAAGTTCACAATAGCCTTCATAATGGCCAAGACCCATCAAATTGATTGGAGGAGCTCTAATGACAGGAGGCTTCTGGTTGAATATCAGTCCGAAGGTGAGGACCTGCGACACCTGACCGATCGTCAATTTCGATTTGTACTAAAAAATGTTCATCGTGTATTCGTCTCCGAAATCAACAGAGGCTCCGAACATTCGTAACACCCCATGGGCGCTGCACTGCAGGAGTGACCAGAGGATTCCTCGTACCAAGCCTTCCAGGTGAGAGCAAAGCCATACGATCCGGTGTCAACGAGAGCATCTAGGTCCTGGGCATTCTCACCGACCAGAGAATAGACATGCCCACAATGTGGGCTTCATGTTCGCTATGTGCCCGCGTAAACTCCCGGGGGGGGGGGGGGTTGAATCTCAAACTCGCCCGCAGACGACGAGAATAGGGACCGCTCCCTATTCTCGTCGCCTGATTATGAGAGAACCTCGAAATTAATGTGATGAACTCGACTGCCTATGATAGCATGCCCATCTTCGGGAGGAAGATTTAACCGGAATAAAGAGCCTGATTGTTTAGAAAAAGTGAAAATGCCAGGTGGATCACCTGGGCACATCGGCTGAGGCGACATCGTATGCTCCGCTACATCGTTGTTTCAAGACAACGACTTTGATTTCCTCCAGCCGAGTTTTCACAGTGTCATAAGCTGGACAATCCAACGCGGAATTTATGACAGATTGTCCAGTTATGAGAAACTTTGAAAACTCATGAATGACAGTAAGCTCGAGAATTCTTCGTCACCTTGAGTTGGCGATGTGAGCTGTGCACTGTGCGAAGCGCTGAGTGCTTGGCACTCTTTGCTCACACGACTGTGGAATTATACGCTTGAACTTCAAGTGTATAATCCCACAATCGCGAAGTCTGGAAATGTCAACAATACGAACGACGTTCGTCGAACGTCACTCTCGATGATCAACAGTGATGAATGAGATCATACAGCTTACTTGTACAGATAGATACCACGGGTATTGCAATGGTGAATGCAACACTGATACTAATCGGCGAGTCGAATAGGTGCATGTTGTTGCTGCTCGAGATATCAGCAGTACTCCGATTCCTCGACTCCGACGAGTTGGCCGCTATCCGCGACTCATTCTTACCATTCCTAATCGAACACCATTGCATTGCGCGTAAATAACACTCAAAACAATTTCCGAATCGACCAACGTATGGTACTGTTAATTGAGGATCCGATGAACTCAACATTAAAAAGAGGGTGAACAACAACAAGCATGATATCACAGACGGCAACAAGCCTAGCTAGACATGTCAAGATCGGCTAACAGATTGATTAAAAAATCCTGATTGAAAACTTGATAAATATACAAGTCAGCGTACTCACTGATCTAATTCAAACCTCCATCATTGAACAACAAGGCGACATTTGTGTTACCGCTGACCCTTGCTGATGCTGGTCTTGCGCACCGGAGCGTTCTTGTAGCTGTCTCTGTTCTAGCTCCGATATTGCTGTATATGCCAGCTTATATCGATGGTTGCTTCTCATCTCGTAAGAATGTATCACCCCAGAATGCATCATTTCTTCTACTGCGTCCGTGTACGTCTCATTCGTAACGACGCTCATTCTCCTACCATCTTTACCAAGTAAACACAGCCAGCAAGTTCGCATACAAGCTATTAAATGAGATCCGAAGACATAATAGCAAAAATATGCCGCATAATAAGCGACTATGATTCCGATGAGAATAGCTTGCCCAACAGCAGCTCTTCTGAAACCGTCTTCTATCCGAGCCTCGATATACCATTGGAATGAGTCGAGATCACCCATTGGAACACCGCTGTACATGATCTGTTCATATCGCTTAGCATTACTACCGCTCATATAGCGATCAATGTAACTGAAGAAAACTAAATATGATAACGAGTCATATATGGCGCTTGAACTCACCGTTGTTCAGTGGCGTCCGTGAAGAAATCACTCGGGAAAACGTTCTGATTTCCGAGCCTGAAAAACGACTATAGTGATGGGAGAAGTTGCGCGGGAGCTCACATCCAGAATGCCAAAAGACAATGCAGTAGCGCTGCCAAGGGTAACAACTTGATTGCACCGATCACAGTATCCTGGGTAAAAGCCGGTGGCCTTGCGGACAATCTACAGTGAACCACATGAAGGGGAATTACTCGAAGAGTGGTACGTACCGAAGAAGGCAAATCTTGTCAGCCCAATAAGCCACTAAACAGTATAGAGCGCCGATGAACAACAATATCGGCATGCTCGAAGAATACCTATGGAATGACTATAGTAAAATCATTCAAGACAGCGTGGGAAATACATAATCGCGCAAAATAACACGTTCATTGTTTGTGCTAGTCGCGACGCCAGGTTGAAATCCGGCAACTTGAACACTTGGTTCATCGCATCCTGAATCGCTAATCATAATCCCAATCTGATCATAGAGGATTCTTACTTGAGTCTTCTTTTTTCTACCGACGAATGGCATCATGATCAGCTTCACAGTTCCACTCAGCAGAGGCGGGATAGCATCCCAAGCGATCTGTGATGAGGATTGTGTCAATAGGCCGGCGAATATAGATCAAGATATCAGTGATGATTCGTCATAACTATGCTTGTTCATTGAGCAATGCGACTCGTGGCCCATGCACGACTGCCTCATTGTTAGAGTTCATTTGCGCCAATCGGCTCGGTGGGCTCAAGTGTTACATCCAAAGCCTAGCAACACCAACACGTCCTACTTGAACAGCAATTGTTATGGCCAGACCGATACCAACTGCTTTATACCAAGTCGATGTGAAGTCGTCAAATTCGCCATCGCCGATTCTCAGTGTAGTTCCGAACTGACAAGTAGTCAGCATCAGCCATTTCAAAACTGATGCGACTTACCACTGGGATGTCCTCCGTCACGCCGTGCAGTTGCGCATTGACGAACAGAATAATGAGGCCAGTGTTGATCCATTGGGCCACGAACAACTTCTTCATCAGAGACATTTCTTTCGTAGTGAACTGATCGGCCAACTTGGACGGTGATTTACCGAAACGGACATCTCACTGAAGTGTGTTTCTCCATGTCAACCAAGAAGTATATAATCATCGTCAAGAGCCAGTTAAGCAGAGTAACCGATAGCACTGCTACTATCGCCATGATGAATTCAAAAAGCTGCAGAGAAAATGAGATGAATCAAGAACAACTCAGCTTACTTTCTTGAGTAAATACGGTTCGCACAGTTTCTGAGCCTCACCATCGTAGGGTGGGAAAAAGTACCTACAAGTCGAACGCACACGAGGATAACGCTGACCCGTTCACCTAGTGTTGCCGTTAGCGATATTGAACTGCAACTGTTGATAACAGAAGCATTGGTACGTATCGTCGTCCAAGAGATCGTCATCGTTAGGATTCGCAGCTTTTATTTTCTTTACTCGAGCCAGGGAAATCGGCAACTGCCAGAAAACTTCTCGTGAAAACCCTACAACCTCGACTTCACAAGAGACTATATTGCTCAGACGTCAATTGAAACTTCATGAAAAATTCCGAAGATAGATTCAATTTGATGCTACCGTCTGGCTCAGCATCGATTCACCATTATTCCTAAAACCAATTTCGGCTGTAAAGAAGCCGGAGCAGAATGGATAAGGAGTTTGATGCGAAACCAAAGTGGCGACTTCGCAATCAAAAATTCCCGAACAATAGAGGGAAACGAATGTTCCAAATATACCTCATCAAGGCAATGCTGGAATCTACGTTCACTTTCCTCAACTGAGTATAGGAGTTTCCTCACTTGTGAATAGAAGTGTACCAAAACCAACAAGAATTTCGGAAATTTTCCTCAGAGTTTCCGTATTGTCACCAACCCACGTAGTTGACCATGTGCATATTTTCCCCGACACTGCACCAACGAGAGTAATCGGCTCTCAGTTCAGAAGGCTCCACGGCACATTGAGATGTACGAGGAGACATCAGTCATCAGGATGGTGCCCTCACCTACCGAAACTTCACAGCGATCGTCGTCCTCAACTTTTTTCGTCGAGGCTTCCCCCACTCTCGGAATTTTGCACACCCCCGACCCAATATCTTCCGATCCAACGATTTCGCCCGTAGCATCATAGCACTCGTAATTATTCTTCATCATCACCTGTACACCGGCGAGGTCTCATCTGGATCTGTCAATCAGAACACTTACGACATCGCAGTTGCCGGAAATGCACTCCTTGCTTGTCGGACTAGTACTGTATGCCAGTGTTTTGGTACCCACCGGTGCGGGGGTAGTCGTAGTAGTGGTTGTCTCTGTAGTGACTTTGTGTTTCAGTAGATCCGCAGTAGCGTCAATATTGGACAATGTGATCACCTTGAGAAATCGACGATTTCAAATATCCAAATTGCCACGCAATCACTATAGCAGTATTTTCTCGAACAATTCCTAATTCTGTTGATAAAACATGGACTTACTTTCATCGCCTTGCAACTGGTCTCAGGTTTTCTGAGTACAACTCCTGCGCCATCCCGGAATACTTCACTCTCATCACAGGCGAACATTTTCACTTCCGAGACAGCCTGACCGCAATAGTAGAATAAACCACTGGCACACTGGAAGCGTTTCGACGTACTTTATCGACGGGTTGCATAAACTTGATACACTTCACCATCACAGGTGCCGCAAACATAACACCGAGCCAATCCTTAACCAGAGTCACCGGCGCCAGCGATGTCTGTGCTGCAGTCGCTGTAGAGAACCCATCACCACTTCAGAGGAGCTCTAACGTATCTCACATGATTCCATCTCTGCCCTTGCTTGAAGTTGTGCAACACATTCTGGTTGAGTCTCGTCCGAACCATCGGCACAATCTCTGACTTCATCACAGTAGAAAACATCCTCTATGCATTCCCCGGAGCCACACTTGAACTGTGTATCTTTACAAAGTGCGCTCGGGGGAGGCGTCGTGAAGATGCACCTGGGAAACCGACTAATGAGTTCTATCCTATTGGTCGTTCATACTCTCGTTCATCAGCGGCCACACTTTCGCCCGGCTCGATCACCTCGCACTCTGCGATTTGATTGCACACAAATCGTTCATCGATACACGTTCCTGTTATCGGGCATTTAAACCTCGGCGCGAGACAAAGTTGTTGTATAGCATCTCGGACCTAGTCGCTTCCAATGAAACCATCCGGGGATGATGCAGCGTCTTACTTGAGGGTCCGTAAGACTCAAATACTCCACCGGTGGCAAATTCGGCAACGAAGTGGTGAGTGTGTTCATCAGCGTGGTCTGCTTCGCCGGGTCAGTGTTGACACTCTCAAGGCTGTCAACAACGACAGCTGCCTCAGCCTCCGTCGCAGTTTCTCGTTCGACCAACGTTCCCGTCGTGATACCACTCTCAACAGTAACCTGAGCGCGCCAATCAAGGACGATACGGAGGCTATACGGATAGTCACCTCGAAGTTGATCGAGCTGCTGACCGTACCCTCAGTTTGAAGCCTTCTCGGCAACGGCGTTGTCGTTGCCACTTCCTCCACTGTTATTTCGGGCGCGCTCGCCGCCGTCTGTTAAGTCAAAATTTATGAGGAAAAATTGGCAATACACTTACTGATTGTGTCACGATGATTCCATTAACGACAATGGGATGCACTATCCCGAGTAGCTGCAACAACGCCGTCTTGAACACTTGTTGGAACTCCGCGAAAGTCTCCGGGTCATCCTTGACACTACTGAGATCTCCGTCGAGCACGAGTCGCGTTATCATCTTTTTAACCGGATTTTTATCAGATTCACTGATCAAACTTTCCGCTGCCGCAAGTCGCTGTAGACCTCCTTCGGCATCACATCGCGCCCTAACTGATTCCCACGCCGTACGGTGTTCAACTGTGCCAAGGTATCTTCTGATAGATTCTCGTTCTTCGCGATTTGATACGCCCGTCAACACCATATTCTCTCGGAACGTATCGCATGCTTCTAGAACTGACCGATCCTCTTGTAATATTCCTCCAAGGTCATCGAAGCACTCACATGGCAAGGATCCCGTTAGGAGGAACGTCTCACACCGCAGAGACGAATACCGTAAAACCTCCACTTCGTTGATTGTGCACGCTTGAGCATTCTGCATCCTCTGGAAATTGTCACAGTAGTCTGTCACCCACGACAACAAGGACTGCCCGGATGATATCAGGTCCGGCCTGTACGTCGAACCATCGCACTCAAGTGCGCTAGATGCATCTTCATCCGCTGATATTGCTTCCGTGACACAACACGGGTCAATCTCGAAAGTGCAGTTCGCTCCGTACCGCTCGAAAAAGATATTTTCCACGACGTTAATCTCACACACAGGCAGGTTTAGCAAGGCATCTTTCGCCTCTTTCAAAAACACGCACGTGTCGTCATTGACATACGCCTCATCAGCGCACTCCTGACAGCCGCCTTTTCTTAGGTCCTTAGGGATGCAGAGACCCGTAGCTGGACACCTCACTTCATTGTTCAAGCATTGATAGCTACACCCCATCTCATCGTCACCATTAGGACACAGCCACTGTCTATCACAACGCTGGGATGAATCATAACAGCGTCTATCGGGATCGCTCTCGCACGCCGTTTGCGTTGCCAAACAGTTGGTTGCTGAAATCGACACCGTAGTAGCACCAGTCGTATCAATACGATCTGTCGTATCACAACGCTTAGCAATGACCCCGTCCGTCTGTATTGACTGAATGCCACCATAAAGTTGCTCGCCCGCAGAGTCTACCACGGCTGACGCAGTTCCGATCTGGTCAACGATACAGTCTATTCTTGCTGGCCTCGCGCAAGCCCTCAGCGTCAACTTCACCTTCGCCTGAGTGATGGTCGTCTCGTTTTGCCTTGCCAGACCTCTTATCGCATCCGCCAAGTTGTTGGTACCACACACGAACTTCGAGCTTGTGTCTTGTAGGCTTCGGCGATTTGGCGGCGGAGTTGTGACTGAAGTCTCTTCCAATGGAACCGCTTGTGTAGTCACCATCGGTGGAGTTCCAGTTGTTACCATTTCACCAGGCTCGGTCGTAGGACTTTCAGAGCGCTGAATTTCCACCAGGAACACGTCCTGGACCGACTCGCCCATCGCATCCCTGAGATTCTTGGCGATGCCTTGCACTTGAAAATACCCCTCAATCACGAACTCTACGCTTCGCGATGTCAAAGTAGCGCTCGGCTGATAGTCGATTACCTCGTCCAACGGGCACACAGGTAAACTGTCACCGTCGAAACCAAGCTCAGTCAACCCTCCATAAAGTTGCGTACCCTGATCGCGCATCAACGCCTGAGCTTGCCCGACCTTATTCGCTGCGCACTCTAACTGCGCGGCTGAACCACAGATTATGATTCTAGTATCCTTGTACGGCCTTTGGGTAGATATCGTCCCCTCCGAAACAAGAGTCAGACTCTTGAGCGCCACAGCCAAAGCTGTTACATCACAATCGACCTCTGCAACTCGACGTGGGAGTTCGCCATCAGAATCATTCTCGGTCGGGAAACTACTGCGCTCAGCAGTAATAGTCGAGCTGTTCATCTCGACGCCCATACGCACATTACTCAGAGCGGTCTTGAAAACTGCAGTCATTTCATCATCTAAATAATAGCCTTTAATAAGTACCACTCGTCCGCCATCTTGTTGTGGAACCACACTCGTAGTATCACCGCTGCCTTCATCACTTTCTTCCGGCTGCGCCGTAAGATTCCCATCGAGCATAGGGCATCCGTCCGTCACACTACTCCACGGCTCAATCGATGTAAGGCCACCATAGTAGGTCCCCGAAAGACTCTTCGTGAACTGCCGCGCTTGTACTAGCATTTGCCTGATACACTTAATGTTCTTCGTCTCGCCGCATACGGTGACTTCTGCTCTACGACTCTTGGCACTATCAACATTCACCTTGGGCAATTGCTGTAAAAGCTCTACAAGAACTGTGCGGTCACAAGATGCGTCATCAGATAGAGTAATTTCTGTGGCGGAATACGTCGATCCACTGTCGCTGATAGCAGAAATATCTCCGAGGACCACGTCCTCGCCAAATGCCTTCTGTAGGAGATTCCTCACAGTTTGCTCTTCCCAAACTCCTCCAATAGCCATTGTCACACTGCTGATACTATCAACAGTTTGCGGTGCCTCAGTAGAGACGTCGATCACAGGAGCATGAGTGACCTCCGGCAGATCACTCGGACAGCCATCATTGACACCATCACTCAACGTCATAGTAGCAACTCCGCCATAAAGATTGCTACCAGAAGCAGTGACAAGGTCCCTGGCTTGCCGTACGCGGTTCATCAGACATTCCACCTCTTCCATAGCGGTACATGCATATACCCTCACAACAATCCAACTATTTTTACTCTTGAACTCACTTTCACTGCCGATGCTAATTTCCTTCATCGCTCTACTAAGCGAGTCCGTCGAGCAAGGCGACGACGACGTACCATCAGGAGAGCTTCCTTCCTCGACCAAGAAAGGCTCTTCAAAGGCCGCTTGCACAGCTGCACCTTCAACCGCCACAGCTCGCATCCACACTGATGGTCCCAAACCCAGCGCCAAGGCTTCCTTCACAGCAGCCTGATCCAGATACCCTCCCATCTCGAACTGTACATGTTTGATCACTCCACTAGGTTGTTCAGTGACAACAGTGCTAGTATCGCAGCCGTCACTCAGTGCCATCTCCATAGTAAGTTTCTCGATACCTCCTTCACCGCTCACGCTGCCACTAGCAACATCTAGCTGCTCAGCGACGCATTGCATGATCACGTCCGGACCGCACGCGTCAACGCGTATTTCAGCCATCTCATACGAGGCTGACGGAAACCCGAGTGATTTCAGGGAAGTCCACAAATCTTCCCTGCCACACTCAAAGTTGCTCAGATCAGTCGTCGTCAGCACACTATCATATTCTCCTTCAGTTGTCATTCCCTCTGGAGCCTGGCCGACCATATGCGCCGTTTTCATCTGCACATACGGGCCGAAAACTCTTATCAAAACATCTCTTATAGCAAGCTGGTCCATCGCGCCTCTCAACACAAAGGCAAGGATCATAATCTGGTTTTGACCAGTAGTAGGGGATGGTGCCACTGTCGGGCTCATCGTTGGTTCAATGGTATCCGGAGGTGGTTCCTCTGAGTTGCTTTCGATAACCCCTATGGATGGGCAACCGTCAACTACACCACTCTCTACCACAATCTTCTCAATTCCTCCGTACATTACTCGAGATGCTCCTATGAGCTCAACCGCGACACTAAGGCGTCTCAAGCCGCATTCAATCGCCTCAGTCGTTCCACAGGCGACGAATTTGATATCAGCTAGCGGGTTCTTCGCGAACTTTGGCGCGGCACCACGTTTAAGACTAGTGATGGAGTTAGCCAAACTTTTCTCATCACAAATCGTGTGATCTCCTGCCCAAGATCCAGAGTAGGTAGTCTGGGACGTTTCCGTCAAGGTCGATTCGATGTGAACATATGAGCCCAATCCTCGCTGTATAGCATCCTTCACAACGAGCCCGTCAATTCGACCCGATACTCGGAAAATCACGTGCTTCACAAAAACTTGCTCATCAGTTCCACTGTTCGCTGGCTCTGAAGTTGTGTACGCAACATCAGCCGAAGTTGGCGGAAGAGCGGTATTCGAACTATACGGTGCCGACGTAGCACTAGCAGTTGATGATTCTTGCGTTTGCTCTCTAGTTGTTCCTTGAACTCGTCTCTTCAACGAATGTGGCAACGCTGGCCTCCTGTGGCTTTCCAGTGAGAGGCTACGTCGTGCAGTATCACTTCGTTCATCAGGCTCAACGCCTACGCAGAAGAAAGTTTCTAAGTGGCAATAGCCCAAATTTCTCGCCGGAATTACAGCATTCAAGTGGAAACTTCAATGCTCTGTCAATATGGGAGAGCGCAAATGAAATTGAATGATAACACTGTCATTGAAAATGACAGTCGATTTCAACAAAGCTCAGTGAGAGAAATGCAGCAAGCCTCGTTATCCCCAAACCCACATGTTCGCGGTATCCAATTCGCACTGCTGCAAACAGACAAGTTGTTGACAGTGTTCGTGAGCATATTAAAACCAACTCCATCTACTGCCTCGTGAGTCATCGGATTCATAACTTTTATCTCCCCCGTTGAATCGAATATCTAAACAGTACGCCATAAGCCATCCACCTATTGCATGCAAAGTTGTGATGACAGTTGGGCGTGGCACGGCAAGTATCAAATCAGTGAGCAACGGCTTACGAACAATTTACGAATTTATCACCGCGTACAGGCATCGTGCTATATCCGTTCCCCACACTGACGCCCAACATCCTCTAACGGCATACCACAACTTTTCGAATTCAGTTTTACTAACTTGATAAGAGCATATTGAACCTCATTCAAGTCCTCTTTCTCTTCCAGCACACACGAAAAATCAATGTTTCGTGTTGCCTTAAAAATGCCCTGGGAAAAAAGCCTAACAGCTTATTGCTACAGTGGTAAGCAATCGTAGAGCGCTACTATCTGATATGATTACAGTTTTATTATAAAGTAATAACACCACTATAAGAGATGAGGATGATATTCAAGTCATCAAGCTCTCTAAAGCTGTCTCATCAACAACAACCACAGCCTACCTTTTCCACGCCAATTGAGCCGAACAAGTTATCTTGGCACGCGTCATCAGCGAACATTTGCACATCGCATATCTCAAAACAACCATCTCCCTCAGGTCGACTGTAATTTCCAATAATCCAAATGTCCTTATTCCCCACCACCGCTGCTTCCCGCGGTATGCCAGCAACTGAACAACCAATTTCCTATCTCCGAACCTAAGACACTCTCCAACTTACTTTTCGCAATCACCAACAATATGCACGAAATGATGAGCAGGAAAAAGCTGATACAACAAGTGAACGCTCTCCTCCTCGTCACCTTCTTCGGATCGAAATCCAGATTTTCGCAGTAAATGTTGCTGGGCTCATACGCTTGCTTTACAGTTAAAGCACGTCCTTCAAAACGCAGGGCTCGAGATTGACACTGAAAACACATCAAAATACGACTCGGGATAAAAATCCCGAATTCGGAACAAATTACCCATGAAGTACGAACGATGTAAAACGTTTTCCCTCGCGATCAACACCATAATTCCTGTCGAACGAATTCAGCTGATGACCCAAACTTGAGGACGCACAGACCACGCCAGACGAAGGCGTGAGTAAGCGGTGGAAATTCGAATATGTATTTCTCTACAAGCTCCAGCACTGAGCTCATATTAATACTCACCAGACGCCACAAAAAGGATCCGGAGAACCGATAGCGATGAAGGACGAACTTCTTGTAGGATTCCTCATTGAATATCACATGTGCTTGGCACACCTGAGGAGGATGAAATTTTCATCGATTCCATAATCATCAGTAGTGACCTTACATCTCGATCCACGTCGAGTTTATCCTTCTGGGATTTCACATTCTTCTCCAGCTTTTCTAACTGTACGTTAACAGTGGATATTTGCTTCTCAAGTTTTCGCGCTTTTTTCTGATCCAGAAAAAACGGTAGAGTTAAATCGTGTGAATTACTCAACTTGTGGTCACTTTCATAGTTTATCGTATGCTGAGTATATGCAACTACACCGACTACAATTGAATCTATGCAACTACACCGACTACAATTGAATTTATGCAACTACACCGACTACAATTGAATCCATGCAACCACACCGACTAGCATTCAATTTATGCAACTATACCGACTACAAATAAATCTACGCAACCACACCGACTGCAATTCAACTCCGCTCACTACCAACTGATAGCAACCACTATCTACCCCAACGGCACTTATAAAAAACACCTTGCTCTGATAGAGTGGTTTGCCACAGTTTGTGATTCTTAAGTACCCTTTGTTGTGCGTAGTCGTGTGCGCACAGTATCTTGCGCAGTACTGATCGATTATCCATAGCTGTTCGGTATTGCACGCACGCACAGGTGGTACATATGTTATACCCCACTCTAAGTGGACTAGCGTTGCTAGTGAGCTTGACGGTACACACATTGCTACATCTGGTGCCCAGACCCAGGACCAACATGCCGTTCAAGCTCGAATCTGTATTGGAACCCTATTCTGGTGGTGAAAACGACTTCGCTCTTTGGCTGCAGGAGTTCGAGACGGTGGCCGAGGCTTCTAAGTGGACTATTAAGCAAAAGTCACAATATATCGTACTTTTTATGAAGGGCTCGGCCAAAGAGATCGCTAGGCAAGCCCTGGAGGAAGTTGAGGGCGATCCAGCTGGTGCCTATGCTCATGTGGTTAGGGCCCTGGATAGAGCGTACTCGCTCAAAACTCACGAGGCGTGGAAGCGTCTGACTCGCCGTGAGTGGCACAAGGAAGATAGTGTTGATGGTGTATTAGCTGAATTCCGCCGCTACCTTAGAGTGCTAGGGGTTACTACCACAGTGGCTGCTGAGAACATCCTTCGTGAAAGCCTGATTGCCACCCTGCCCGAAGACGTGCAGAAGGCCATCCGGGTGTTCGAGGAGGATGGGCGCCAGTTGCCTTTGGCTGATGTTGTTGCTAAGGCTCGAGCTCAGCTGAAGACTTACTCTGGTGAGAAGAAGCTTGCTGCGGGTGCTGTCACTGGTGGTCAATACTGTTATATCTGTAAGGCAACCGGCCATATTGCTGCAGAGTGTCGAGAGCGCGGAGCGACACGTCCTACCTCGAAGCCCAAAGGCAAGGGAAAGGGCAAAGGACCCCGATGCTATGCTTGTCAAAAGTATGGTCACATTGCAAGGGATTGCAAAAACAAACAGAGCAAGGCCGGTGCTGCTATTGAGAAGGATTTTGTGCAGGCAGAGCAGCCGATGGGCGGGGTTGTTCTGCATATGTAAAACGCCCACACTTACTCTGTAAGTTCAACGGTCATGAACATGCCGTTGATGTTGACACAGGGGCTGACTATTCATTAGTATCATCCAAGTTTGTTTCATCTTTGGGTCTTACAGTTCATCACGAGGTTTCCCCTGTACGGCTCAAAATGATGGATGCGGTTGGTGTCCTAACGACAACAGGTCAGGTGGATCTTCCGGTTATGTATCTAGCTAAAGATGGATGGGTTAAGGTGGTTCATACTTGTTATGTTGTTGATAAAATGGTATTTGGGTCTCTAGTACTGGGAGCTGATTTTGCGTCTCTCTACTGCCAGGGTATGACCTGGGATGAAGGTGGCCGCATAGCGGTCACTGCTGCCGCTGCTCGTGGCATCGACGAAGATGTACAGGCGTACAACTTGCCAGACATTCCAGGAGTACGCGTGCTAGAATACCCAAATGGCACCGTTGAGATTATCAGCATCGACTTTGTACTCTCTAAACGTTCCGATGAACCACAGTTTACTTGCCGATGGATATGGCGTGGAGGTGACCCTCCTGGTACGTTCTACAAGGCTAACAGAGGTGACTACAACCCGAAACTCACCGCACAAGAGGAGCTTAACTTGCGTGCTGAGACTGATAAGTTAATAACTAACGGCTGGGTGAAACCTTATGCTGGCAGGGTTCGTAATATTCTCCCATGGGTACTAGTGGCTCAACCCCATAAGCCTTCTACTCCACTCCGTATGTGCTTAGATTTTAGAGCTCTCAATAAGCACCTGGTGAGTGAGCCAGTACGGGACATCGTAAACTGTGTTGATACCTTACATCAGTGGCGTTCGGTTCGGCGTGGTTATACTCTCGATGTCATTAAATGCTATTATTGTATACGCATGTGTGAGAGTCTGTGGCCATATCTGTGTGTCATGATTAACGGTGAGATCTTCACCATGGTGGTTATGGGATTCGGAGTATGTATTGCGCCGAAGGTAGCCACGTCGGCCATCAGATGGTTGCTGATGAAAGTCCCCTACCCAATTTCATCATACCTCGACGATGTGGTCATCGAGGAGTCTGACCCTAATGTGGTTATCGCTGTGAATCAAAATGGACAGCTTCTCGAAGATCCACCATGTGTGACGGCTGTTCGAGACGCATTGGGTAATGGGCGTATGTATTGCAAGCCCACGATTATCATTGGGGCTAATAACAGTCGTGTGCTTGGGCTGAGTCTCCATAACGATGGTGGTGAGATATCATGGGCTCGTAGAGAGGATCTGTCTCTAGAGATCAATCTTGATGGAGATGAGGTGGTTACCAAAAGAGAACTGGCTGGTTGGTGTGGTAAGTTGACTGCCTTGGTCCCAGTAGCAAGCTGGTTACGACCTCATGTAAGTATGCTATTACGAGTGATCAGTGCTTTAGCTTGGGATAAACCGGTGGATGCGGTTTACCTGGATCTTGCTCACTATATTCAACAGAAGTTCAACTCTGAAGGGGATCCAGCTCGCGGCATATGGTACTGTCCCCGCCCAAGTGATGCCAAGGCATGGCATATTCATGCTGATGCGAGTTCAGTGGCTATGGGAGCTACTCTTTCCTACGAGCGTGACGATGGAAAGATCGTGCTTGTCCGTGATGCTGCTTGGCTACTAGATCGGCGTGGTGTTCTGCGGCACATTAATGTGACTGAACTGTGTGCCGCAACCCGAGCATTAGCTTGGGCAGCCCCGTTTATCGCGGGAGCGGTTTATCTACATGTTGATAATGAATGCGTTAGGAGTTGGATAGAGCGTTATCAAAGTGGCCAAACGGTGAAACGTGGAGGCTTATCGACTACCATTGTAGGCCGTCGTCTTCAAGCCATTGTTGATATCACTGAGCCGTTCAAGTCCTTCACTGTATGCCGTGTTGCATCTGATCAAAATCCTAGTGATATCCTAAGTAGATTAGACAGTAAATATACCTCTCTTATCGACTCTATTTGCTATGATAATAATAGCATGGATATTGAGGCCGACCTGTCATTGTGCGCTGGTGCTGCCATCAATGAGCCTTTGTTGAACGATGAGATGTTCTTGAACCTAGGTGAAGTCGTTGAAGGGCAATATGATGATGATGAGCTGTTCAAGGCCAGGCGGGCCTTGAAACATGGTCGGTTGTTACCTGAAGATGTTGAGCTAGACTTACAACAAGTCTACCGAGAACTCGAGATCGATGAGTATGACATCCTACGGCGGCGGTACATTGCTCCATACCAGGGTAAGGAAGTATGTGTTCCTGTTATTCCCGAGGGTATGAGAGTAGAGCTCATTCATTCAGTACATGGATTGTTGTGCCATGTGGGCCAGCGGCGAACCTTTGAGGCTATTACTAGTATAGCGTGGTTTCCTGGTATCATTGACCAAACCGCCGCGTGGTTGCAGAAATGTGATATCTGCAACAGGCGTACTCAGCCACTCATCATCAAACATGATATAAGTCTATTCAGCTCATCTGTCCTCTCTGAAGCTGAGCCATTCTCGGTTGTGAGTGCTGATATTGTTTACTTGCCCAAGGCGTACCTGAGTCAACAATGCGCTGTCTGTCGGTTTGCCTGTCTCATCGAGCTGGAGGGCGAGGACGCTGATCATATTCGTGATGCGTTTGAGGCATCCTGGCGGATTCTTGGCAAAAGACCGAAGATTCTACTGACCGACAACCAGACCGGTTTTCTGAGTTGTGACTTACCTGGAGTGTCCCGTGTCTTTACGGCGCCTAGGTCAAGTCAGTCGAACGGTATGGTGGAGTCTCTGCACCGCACGGTGCGTATGTGGACAAGGTCGGTCATGGCGGATGACAATGAGCTCGATATCGCGTCGGCGGTTGCCAAGGTCATGAGAGCTTACAATAACACGGTCCACAGTGTTACCCAGCGTATTCCTGCTGAGATGATGAAACTCGAGTCTACCGACGTTGAATGGCAGCGATTGATTGCCAAGTGCGTCGCTGATGCTGAGAGAAAGCTCGAGTCGTGTACATATCATGAATTATTCCCTGGCGCCATAGTGAGGATGCGTCAAGTGAATAAGTATGATAAGATTATTACTAAGACTATGGATATGCCATTCAGCGAGAAGCGATGGAGAGTCCTGGGATTCATCAGCAGCTCGCGTGGTTTGGTGACGACTTCTCCTAACGATGATTACGGCCTATTTCGAAAGGCTAAGATTATTTGTGATAAAGAAGTCAAAGTTGTCCATGTTTCGAGACTGACTCACTGCAAGCCTGGTGAAGTTGATGTGCAGGACCTGAGGCGAGCCATGCGCCGCATGACTCGTGATAGTCCGCAGTGAGTACGTGATAGCTGGTTTGTCCTAGTTATTCGCTTAATTTTATAGTTCTTCATTCTGTGGCAGGAGGGCGAATGCTCTGATAGAGTGGTTTGCCACAGTTTGTGATTCTTAAGTACCCTTTGTTGTGCGTAGTCGTGTGCGCACAGTATCTTGCGCAGTACTGATCGATTATCCATAGCTGTTCGGTATTGCACGCACGCACAGGTGGTACATATGTTATACCCCACTCTAAGTGGACTAGCGTTGCTAGTGAGCTTGACGGTACACACATTGCTACACACCTCTTACAATTTTCCCTCGACTCTGCAACGCCGACATTTGAGCTTCCAACTCGTATTTCCGGACGTACAGTTTACCCTGACAGTATAAACCATTAAAAACATTTCTGTGATGAAGGGTTTCCTATTCCGACCTGTCCCAAGAAGTTGCGTACCGCACCTTGGTAATCTCGTGCTAATGCAACCTCGCAAACAACAGGCTGATTCGGATCCCGCCCAGCTAGTTCTTCGGCAGGCATGTCGCCCACCAACCTAAGGTAACGGGACACTGGCGTCGGACTCCCTCAGCTGCTCAGCTCAAAAGTTTTCTCGCTATATTATGAAAATGTACACACAAGTGTACAAAAACCAATGAGCATCCTCCCCAAAATCTCAGAATTTCTATATTATCACCAACACATGTAGATGACCATATCGAATCGAACGTTTTCACATGCTTTCAGTATTGGAGTAGTTTCACGACCCGTTCTACGTGAAGTGGCGTAATACTCTGTGAAAATGCGTGGTCGTGAAATATTTTTCACAAGTGTTTTTCATGACTCCATCATAGGCAGCCGCATTTCCATATCGACAGAGTTGATCCTTCCTTCAACCCACCTTTCAAAGTGCTCCTTCAATTTGTCAGCATATCGGTGATGTTCTTCCGGACTATTCCCCAACTGTCTGGGCAAACCCATAACGTGAATTGCATAATCACTAGGAGTTGTGTTGTTCTTTCTTTGTTGCTAAAACAGCGGAAAAATAATCGATAATTTTCCCTCATCTTTCCTACTTTCACAACTTTTTTGATGTGGATAATATTAAACACTACCGCAAAGATAAGCAATAATCCAATTGCCGCTGAAAAAGTTGCATAAACTTCCCGCGCGCCACAAAATTCCTCCGTTACATGCATCCAATCCTCCATACAAGGGCGTTCTATCTCGCAATAACACTTCCGATCCAGGATTCAACTTTCTGTATGGGACCTAAAATTTCCCACAAATTTCCTCAGCAATTTTTCCCATCATATCACTTACGTAAGTAACATCAGCACATAACTCGCCGAATCTCCCACACTCCCCGATATTTCCAATCGAAGTTTTTAGCATCAAATTCGCCCCAACTCCAGCCAGGTCTCCCTGAGCCGACTTATGCAATAAAGGCGTCGCCATAAACGCCATCACCTGAAACTCGGAATCTCCGAAAACGGAAAAATTTACTTTTTTCCTTACCAGTAAAACAATGCCGAGATATAATAGAAAATCAAAGTAAAGTTGAATTCCAACACCGAATTCTCCCTGAAAAAATGCTGTTGAAAAGACAGATCCAAACTATTCACGCCCTACCATATCAGCACGAGAGGTCCCCCAAATCGACCGCCACGCGTATGTATCCTTTTCACGATCTCGTACCGTACACGATGTTCTGAGACAAAATTCATCAACCCTTGCGTCTACAAATCGGCCTGCCGCAAAAAGTGAATAAGAAAACAGCAAAAATATGGTTGTATCAATAAGGTGATGACCTGAGTCCTCTGAGTGCGGCGATATTCTTAATACCAAACCAGCCGCAAATATTCCAACACATACATCGGAAATAGTCTCAACATTCGGCCACACATAGACACCAGCTCTATATTATTTCCAATTTCCCCCATTTATTACACCATAAGATGACGTTTAGCGAGACCAACATCAGCACGAGAGACTTCTTTACCGTTTTCCAACGGAGTGTTCGCCGCGTACACCTGAGAAATATCTTAGGTTACTGCGCGTAAGATACATTTTGGGTCCACCAGGAGGATGCATGCAAAGTTGAGATATTTGAATTCATTCTAATAAGACACAAGACGAGCAAGGATGAGAAATCCCAGTTAACTGCGTGTAAGATGTCCTCAAATTACGGTATAGAACATAAATTGTATATCAAGCTCTTACCGATGGTGACACGCTGATAGGAGCCACTTGTGCTGTACTGACTACTGGTAAGGTACTGTTCGTCTGCGCTTGTTGAATAACCACCTGGAAGCACTGATATATCGATCAATACGATTAGACGTAAAGATGGTATTAAAATCATTAGTACGAGGGGAAATTTTTCGCTGTGATGATGGGAGATAATAAATAAAATAGGAACGCAATTTTGGTAAAGCCATATATTTCTAATGAAAGTGAGTTTGTCTACACCATCATAAAACTGCTACCAATCAATCACTTGCGCACATGGCCAACTACATGTGTTGTTGACAATATGAAAATTCTGAGGAGATTTTGAGAACGTCTTTTTGGTTTCTGTACACTTCTACCCTAATTCGCATATCGACTCCCGAGCTCAGCTACAGACAGACAGTGCAGAGCTGCAACTCACGATACACTTTCTAATTCGGTAAGGGAAAAGACCAACATCGAACCAGCTATCAAACCAACAATGGGAATAAACTGCTTACCGGTCCCTCCTCCGCTGGAGCATTAGACCATCTACTGCTCATTAACTCATCAACTTTAAGACGGTCATTGGAGTCCGCCATTTCTAACTTCTTGAGTGAGACGGACAAGTGGAAGAATTGAAACTGCGCCGTTGAAGTAGCGCGCGCCATAAAATTGTTGTTATTATGGATCTGTCACGCGCCACAAAATCCCATCATTATATTTTCGGGGTAAATCCTCATTTCTAAACTGCAGAATTTTGCCCAACGGTCGAGAATGGACGACGATTTATCATCACTTTGCCATTCTCGCAGTAACCGATACCAAGCCTCGACCAGCTCTGCCTATACTCGTATACCCCTCAGCGGGTGCTTTGGAGTTTGATAGGGTTTCTCTCCGTTGATGCTGCCTGTTTAGCTACTTACTAGCGTTGTTTTCTATAGGCTGTTACCATGTGCATGCCTGCTGTATCATACCCTTTCGTTATCAGATTCTAAGTAGAAGCATATAGGTTGTGTTGAATTCTGCCTTCTTTAATGTCTGAAACAGTTGCATCACTATTTCACAGGTCTACCAATCTTCCTCCTGCGAAATCGGATTCATTTTCGCGAGAGAGTCGCACTTAAACGAATTTGCAAATCAGGTCTCAAGCATCGAGAGCTCGTAGGTTAAACACGACTATATACGAGAATATAGATTCCCTTTGGCGCATATCAGACCAGTTCTCTTCGGTACATTCCCATTCCGTACAGTTTGGTAAGTTCGATTCCAACTGTACCCTCTGAGATGCTGGAAACATGACATTTCGACTTTGTTAGTGAATCGGCCATTGAGATAACGCTACACTGGATATAATTGCGGTATTGGGTATATGCTTGCGTATTGTAAGTGTCATCCTTAGCACACACCAGCCTATTTTGTTGATAGGCAGAATCAACAGCCTATAATCACTCTCTACTTTCCCCGCTTCTCATTGTAGGAGACCACTCGCTTCCATATACGCTATATACGGTTTTATGCTATATCGAGCGATGTAGGTGACAAGTGTCATAAGTATGATCACGGGTGAGGCCACCTCACGTTACAGTAACGACTCGTTACTGTAACGTTACTAACGAGCATTGACCCAATCAACGTCAAATGCGCTTCTTTGAGAATAGCTCTGAAGAATCTCAGCCTCTTTCGAAACATGTCGTGGGAGGAGTCTACGTTTGCTGGGGTTGAGGTTGACCAGAACCGAAATGAGGGCTCGCCACAAGCAGCACAGAGACTTCGTTACTAGTAGAAGATCACTACGAGAGCCGCCTAAACAAGACGGGTGCTTTCCACATCTCAACGAGCGTCGGTGCGGAATAGCAACGCCACCGGTGATCGAGTCTGGGTCCAGTCGCGTGACGTAATGAAAAATTATCGAAAAAATGGAAATCGAAGAAACAATGGCATTGCTTTCAACGCGAAATCGATTTCAATACGAAATGCGACGCCGCGCACGGTCGACCGACCGATGCTTGCTCCCGGGACTGGCGGGCTGGGTTGAAATAGATCCCCAACGGCTAACGCCGTCTGCTTTCGTAATGCCGCGGCGACACTCGCTCGCACTGGCCACTTCATAAGGATGGTGGACGCGCCGTGGATGATACGCATGTGTGCCATAAAGGCGCACTGTGTCACGCGCCCTTCATATCTGTATTTAACTTGTGTTAACTTGTTAACCCTTATTAGTTATTTAGTTAAGCCTTATTAGTTAGCCCTTATTGGCAGTAGTAGTGCTAGTCACAGGACCACTAGTTGAAACAGTAGTAGTGCTGGTCCCAGGACCACTAGTTGAAACAGTAGTAGTGCTGGTCCCAGGACCACTAGTTGAAACAGTAGTAGTGCTAGTCACAGGACCACTAGTTGAAACAGTAGTAGTGCTGGTCCCAGGACCACTAGTTGAAACAGTAGTAGTGCTGGTCCCAGGACCACTAGTTGAAACAGTAGTAGTGCTAGTCACAGGACCACTAGTTGAAACAGTAGTAGTGCTAGTCACAGGACCACTAGTTGAAACAGTAGTAGTGCTAGTCACAGGACCACTAGTTGAAACAGTAGTAGTGCTGGTCCCAGGACCCCTAGTTGAAACAGTAGTAGTGCTAGTCACAGGACCACTAGTTGAAACAGTAGTAGTGCTAGTCACAGGACCACTAGTTGAAACAGTAGTAGTGCTAGTCACAGGACCACTAGTTGAAACAGTAGTAGTGCTAGTCACAGGACCACTAGTTGAAACAGTAGTAGTGCTTGTCCCAGGACCACTAGTTGAAACAGTAGTAGTGCTAGTCACAGGACCACTAGTTGAAACAGTAGTAGTGCTAGTCACAGGACCACTAGGTGAAACAGTAGTAGTGCTGGTCCCAGGACCACTAGTTGAAACAGTAGTAGTGCTGGTCCCAGGACCACTAGTTGAAACAGTAGTAGTGCTAGTCACAGGACCACTAGTTGAAACAGTAGTAGTGCTAGTCACAGGACCACTAGTTGAAACAGTAGTAGTGCTGGTCCCAGGACCACTAGTTGAAACAGTAGTAGTGCTGGTCCCAGGACCACTAGTTGAAACAGTAGTAGTGCTAGTCACAGGACCACTAGTTGAAACAGTAGTAGTGCTAGTCACAGGACCACTAGTTGAAACAGTAGTAGTGCTAGTCACAGGACCACTAGTTGAAACAGTAGTAGTGCTGGTCCCAGGACCACTAGTTGAAACAGTAGTAGTGCTAGTCACAGGACCACTAGTTGAAACATTAGTAGTGCTAGTCACAGGACCACTAGTTGAAACATTAGTAGTGCTGGTCACAGGACCACTAGTTGAAACATTAGTAGTGCTGGTCACAGGACCACTAGTTGAAACATTAGTAGTGCTGGTCACAGGACCACTAGTTGAAACATTAGTAGTGCTGGTCACAGGACCACTAGTTGAAACATTAGTAGTGCTGGTCACAGGACCACTAGTTGAAACAGTAGTAGTGCTGGTCACGGGACCACTAGTTGAAACATTAGTAGTGCTGGTCACGGGACCACTAGTTGAAACATTAGTAGTGCTGGTCACAGGACCACTAGTTGAAACAGTAGTAGTGCTGGTCACGGGACCACTAGTTGAAACATTAGTAGTGCTGGTCACGGGACCACTAGTTGAAACATTAGTAGTGCTGGTCACGGGACCACTAGTTGAAACAGTAGTAGTGCTGGTCACGGGACCACTAGGTAGTCTCTAGGACTGGGTAGTTATTAGGGACAACGACGGGTTGACCATTATCTGATGGGAGGCAGATGAGTAGTTCTCGGAGAGCTGGTCTCCAATCTTGCCAACACATGCTGATACTAACACTACACCCAAGCGTTATAGACTCTATACTATAGAGGAGACACTAGTAATCATCACAAAGGTTAGAAAGATGACCTGATCGTCTATGCAAAGTTTCTCGACCGCAAAGGTCAACAGGAAAAGGCCGAATTGTCGATGCTGCAAGCTACTCTGATCATCTTCTTGTTCGGGTTAGGAGCCATGGTCTTCAGTAGGGAGGATTCGTAGAAGTAGTGTTGAGATATATGCTCGCTTTCCTTAGCTGAGCTCTGGAGTTTCCTAAGAAAAGCACACATGAACTTGGCTGTGAGTGCACAGAAACCCATCGAAATTTGCCGAGATCCACGAAAGCATATTACGCAAAACACCACGATGATTGGGTCCCCCTATCCCACATGGTGCTCTACTGGTTGAAACTAAACACTACAGCATATTACCGAGACATCAGTTTATCCGAATTGGTGTTGCATCAGGCGTGCATAATGTGTCAACACATCAACTACATCTCTGTCCGACTCGTCTCGAGCGGCAATTTCCCTCCGCAATGCTTCTAGTATTTCCATCACTTCTTGTCTCAAAGCGGAAACGGCCGTGGATGTCTCCAGTCTAGGATGACTAATCTTCTACTCGGCGTCGTCTACCGTGTTTTTTCTCAGGTTGAATCTCCCAGGAATTCGCAAGTTGATAGTATCAGCAGACTCTCACAGCAATTTATAGTAAGACAGTCATATCGAGTCAATCGTACGTTTACGTGATATCGGGATTTCCGGCGATTGCTACCACGAGTTAGAACATCGATGAAGCGATTATAAACTACCATAACTCATGAATATCGTCAGGAGCGAAAATTTCACTCGTATTTTGTCAATTTGGTCATCTATTTTAACGGTCGATCAGGGGCCAACAACAGACAATTGAAGTACTACCGATGCATCCTCTCGTCGATGATGTTCATTTTCCTATGTAGTCCAGCCTGAGCTAATTCCTCCCTTTCCTTTATGTCCTTCAGAAGTGACTCTAACTTTCTGTCGAAAACCTCTGTCGCGACGTTCCTGGAATTGGTCAGTTTTTCGGTACCGTAATATCTTCAAATTACCGCAGTCTATCATTCTCGAGTTCGAACAACTTCTCGTCAAATCTAGCGAATCTCTGCTCGACTCTGAGGTACTTCAACACGTTATCTAACATTACTCCTACAGTAAGAGTTCTACCGAGATTCGAAAGAATTGAGCTCTCGACTCCGCTCCGCTAGAGCAACCAACTGCTTTTCATGCTGACTACAAATCCTTTGCGTTTCCACGACGATTCGGGACAGTTTATCAAGACGCTCTTCTGTAACAGTCTGAAAAGATATCCTCAGGTTTTCTAGTAATCTTGATCGCACCTCCATTCGGCGGGTCACTCTGAACATTTCTGTCTCGATTGCATCTCCAATACGATCCATCGCCGTTCGAATTTTAGCATCACATAAACGTTCTATGCTCGCCTCGAGACGTCCTCGTTGAGACAGTTCATCAGCCATTGCTGACTCTAGGGAGGCTAGCTGCTCCTGAACGCGTCTCCGCTCAGCCATCGTTGAATCCTCTGGCGTTTTGAGAGCCGAGAATAGATGAGGTAGTGAGTACTGCGCTGGTGATGTCATTGTAGAGCCGATTCTGCTGATGAGGCTATTTAACAACTCAGCTCAACATGGATATGCAGTTGAGCCCTTATTATAAGCTTATTACTGAGCTAACTTCCTCATTCACTGATAAACGAACGACTCATGCGAGTTCACGCTCTGAACCGATATCCCTACTCGCGCACGTGTGAAATATTACATCTCTGGCATAGCGGACCCTGCCGGAAGATTGATCTATAAATGGTATAGTTCTCTGGCGTATCGACCCCATTCGGCGAATAGTTATCCTACTGGTATAGTTTTCTGGCATATCGGCCCCATTCGGCAAATAGATCTCTTAATGGTATAGTCCTCTGGCATATCGGCCCCATTCGGCAAATAGATCTCTTAATGGTATAGCTCTCCGGCATATCGGCCCCATTCGGCAGATAGATATCCTAATGGCATAGTCTTCTGGCATATCCGCCCCATTCGACAAATAGATCTCTTGCACAGTGGCTTCACTCGAGAAAAAGATTTCTGAGTGATATAGTCCTCTAGAATGTTGCCACCATTCGGCAGACAGACCTCTTTATAGTGTAGTCCACTGGAATATCGGCCCCATTCGGCAAATAGATCTCTCAATTGTATAGTCCTGTAGCATATCGGCCCCATTCATCAAACAGATCTCTTAATGGTTTAGTTCTCTGGCATATCGGCCCCATTCGGCAAATAGGTCTGGCATATCGGCCCCATTCGGCAAATAGATCTCTTAATGCTATAGTCGTCTGGCATATCGGCCCCATTCGGCAAATAGATCTCTTATTGGGATAGTCCTCCGGCATATCGGCCCCATTCGGCAAATAGATCTCTATAGTCTTCTGGCATATCCGCCTCCACTCGAGGAATAGATTTCTGAGTGATATAGTCCTCTGGAATGTTGCCACCATTCGGCAGATAGACCTCTTAATGGTGTAGTCCTCTGGCATATCGGCCCCATTCGGCAAATAGATCTCTTGATGGTATAGTCCTCTGGCATATCGGCCCCACTCTGCAGATAGATATTCTAATGCCATAGTCTTCTGGCATATCCGCCCCACTCGACTGATAGATCTCTAAAGGGTATAGTCCGCTTGCACAATGGCTTCACTACAGGAATAGATTTCTGAGTGATATAGTCCTCTGGCATGTTGGCACCATTCCGCAGATAAACCTCTTTATGGAGTAGTCCTCTGGCATATCGGGCCCATTCGACAAATAGATCTCTCAATTGTATAGTCCTCTGGCATATCGGGCCCATTCGGCAAATATATCTCTTATTGGGATAGTCCTCTGGCATATCGGTCCCATTCGACGAATAGATCTCTTGCACAGTGGCTTCACTCGAGAAAAAGATTTCTGAGTGATTTGGTCCTCTGGCATGTTGGCACCATTCGGCAGATAGGCCTCTTCATGGTGAAGTCCTCTGGCATATCCGCCCCATCCGGCAATTAGATCTTTCAATTGTTTAGTCCCCTGGCATATCGGGCCCATTCGACAAAAAGATCTCTCAATTCAATTGAGTCAATTGTATAGTCCTCTGGCATATCGACATCATTCGGCAAATAGATCTCTTAATCGTATAGTCCTCTGGCATATCGGCCCCACTCGGCAGATAGATATCCTAATGCCATAGTCTTCTGGCATATCCGCCCTATTCGACAGATAGATCTCTAAATGGTAGTCCGCTTTCACAATGGCTTCACTAGAGGAATATATATCTGAGTGATATAGTCCTCTGGCATGTTGGCACCATTCGGCAGACAGACCTCTTTATGGAGTGGTCCTCTGGCATATCGGCCCCATTCGGCAGATAGACCTCTTTATGGTGTAGTCCACTGGCATATCGGCCCCATTCGGCAAATAGATCTCTCAACTGCATAGTCCTCTAGCATATCGGCCCTATTCATCAAACAGATCTCTTAATGATTTAGTTCTCTGGCATATCGGCCCCAATCGGCAAATAGGTCTGGCATATCGGCCCCATTCGGCAAAAAGATCTCTTAATGGTATAGTCGTCTGGCATATCGGCCCTATTCGGCAAATAGATCTCTTATTGGGATAGTCCTCTGGCATATCGGCTACATTCGGCAAATAGATCTCTATAGTCTTCTGGCATATCCGCCTCCACTCGAGGAATAGATTTCTGAGTGATATGGTCCTCTGGCATGTTGGCACCATTCGGCAGATATGCCTCTTTATGGTGAAGTCCTCTGGCATATCGGCCCCATTCGGCAAATAGATCTCTCAATTGTTCAGTCCCCTGGCATATCGGGCCCATTCGACAAGTAGATCTCTCAATTGTATAGTCCTCTGGCATATCGGGCCCATTCGGCAAATAGATCTCTTATTGGGTTAGTCCTCTAGCATATCGGCCCTATTCATCAAACAGATCTCTTAATGATTTAGTTCTCTGACATATCGGCCCCATTCGGCAAATAGATCTCTCAATTGTTTAGTCCCTTGGCATATCGGGCCCATTCGACAAATAGATCTCTCAATTGTATAGTCCTCTGGCATATCGGGCCCATTCGGCAAATGGATCTTTTATTGGGTTAGTCCTCTGGCATATCGGCCCCATTCGGCAGATAGATCTCTAAATGGTATAGTCTCCTAGCATAGCAACGTCACGCGCCACAGAGCTACTCGCCCTCACAGCCTTGTGAAACTAATTTCGTTGAGTCCTCAAATTATGACGATTCAATCCGAATTAAGAGCGTACATAACAAAGTCCGCGAATATATGAGGCGTCGAAACCCGCCTCCATGACGTCGTAATAGACACAGTCCCACTGTGACGCCTCTCACAGTGGGACTAACTCTTCTAATAGTCAAGCTCACCTGTTGCGCGCCATATGCTTCTCCACTATCATTGGCCGAAAACCAAACGAAAATGACAAACTAAGTTCTAAAAACTTCGATTCGTTATTCAGTCAACGTGACGCCAGATAGAAACCCCACTGTGAGGCACCAGCGCAGCCCGTAGCTCCTCTTTAACCCGAGAAATCACCATTAACCAACCAGAACAAGACCGACTGAAAGGTATACTAGTTGAAAACAGTACAGATAAATCGCTTCGGGAAAACCTTTTTCCCCTTCACTCAATCCAAGAACTCGGACAACCACCTGAAACCTTCAGCGTAGCCCATCCTCTTCACAACAGAGCACATGAAGACCTCAACAGGTCTAATCCCTGCCTCCTGAGCGTTCTTCACCATCTGCTTATTGATGTCCTTACCAAAGGTAGTATGAGAGTACAAACCCAAAGACTGTCGCAGTTCTTCTTCACTCGCCGCGGTTCGGACGTCTATTTTGTTACCGAGAACAACAATAGGAACGTTCTGAAGCTCAGGGCTCTCCATGAGGTGTCTGAGCTCTTCAGCAGCCTCGGGGAATCTAGTACGGTCGGCAGCATCAACCAAAAAAATAATGCCGTCAACAGTAGCATAGTAATCTTTCCAGATTCTCCTCGCTGTTTCATGACCACCCAAATCGAAAGTGCGGAATCTTATTTTACCGATAAGCAACTCCTCAGAACAAGGATGCAATGTGGGTACATGAGTGGCCACCTTGTCATCTTTGAGCATGTGCAATAGAGTGGTCTTACCCGCATTGTCGAGGCCCAAAAAGAGGATCTTGGCGTTTTTATGAGATAAGCCAAGCCAATTCAGCGTATCCCAGAACCAGTTTACGATGAACATTTAATCTTCTCAAAAAAGAAGAAGGAAATACCTGATTTACAAGGAGCTAGTTCAGATGAGTTAGTCCGAGCTGACGCGGAATCTGACAGTCTCGCGCGCCCATATAATCGATTCGGACCATGATCGACTCTGTCCGTAACTTACCTGGTGGGTTGTCCTACTGGCAAACGATCACTAAGAAGTTGGTCAATCCCCCCCTGGTCGAAGATGCGTCAGTGTTATCTTATTCGTATCTCGTCATTGGAGCTGGTTTGACCGGTATCGCTACTGCCCTTCATCTCGGTTCTGCTGGTCACAACGTCCTTGTGGTAGAAGCGGGTCCCCGCACAGCTTGGCGAGCTTCTGGTCGTAATGGTGGTCATGTGTGGCCTAGTAGTCATGCTCATGCTAGTGAGGGTGGTCACGACAAGTTACGGTTCGAAATGCAAGGCGCGGAAATGATTTCTGATGTGTGTACAAGAAAGATACGAGGGAGTTGTGAATTGGCGTGCTCGTATGAAGAATCAGTTGAACAACTCCAGCTTGCTAGCGTTCCCAAGTTGGACGGTGTGCAGATCCTCACGGGTGACGCTGGTTGGCACCTTGCAAATCTCAAAGCGAATCAGGACGGTTACGGTGGAATATTACAGCCTAACACAGCAACGGTCAATCCAGTCGAGTTAGCGAATATCTTATGTTCACGCGCATTAGATACAAATAAGGTCCATTTCATGTTCAACAGTGTGGTGAAGAGTATCTCAAAAGATTCCCCCACAATCGTGCTCGAGGATGGTCGTCAACTCACAGCGAAGAATTCAGTGATTGTCTGCACTAACGCTTTTACGGGATTGCTATTACCCGAATTGGCTGGTAATTTCATACCAAAACTCAGCCAAATCGTAGCCGTTCCTTGCGAAGATGAAGATCCTCGACTGCTAGAGTGTACTCTTGCTGCTGCAAACGATACTCTGTATATATCAAGACCGGTGCCTCAAAGGATATTAATTGGTGGTGAAGATATAGCCAATCTCGACAACTACCTTCGGGAGCATACAATAGGAGATATGCCAAATGATTTGGGCGAAGAGTGGTATGAATATCTTTGCATAACGCCTGACGGTCGACCTCTGGTGGGCCCTGTTCCTGGTCGACGAGATGTGCTTATCTGTGCTGGTTACAACGGTAATGGACTACCGTTGTTTTATGAATGCGCACGAGCTGTGGCGCTATATGCTAGTGGAAGAAGTGACGAAGTTGCGGTATGGATTCGTGATTATGCGAGTCCGGATAGGATATTCTGATGGCTTATGGTTTGTTATGTGTTTCTCATTATTAATTTTATGTGTTGTCAATTTAATTGGTAAAAGAATTTTTTTTCTCGAAAATTCTTCCCTGTTGGAAAAATGACGAAGTTACGGTATGGTTTTGCAGATTTGAATGCGGATTGGGTTTGGATTCTGACGGCGATTGGTTTGCTATAGGTTTCTTATTATGAATTTAATGTGTCGTTGACAATCAGGTTGTTGAAAGAAAAGTTATTCGGAAATTTTTTTCCGAAAAAAATACGAACTACCAAAAAAATGCCAAAAAAATTGAATAATTTGCGGTATGGTTTTTTTCGGATTATGCAAGACAGCAAAAATACTTGCCAAAAAGCGCTGATTTTATTATAAAATTTCCTATTTTTCCTCTGAATATTTTCGTAAATTTCTTCTATCTTGGTTACAACAGTATTTTCCCTGCGTTTTCTTGGATGCAATCAGCGACCAAACCCATCCGTGATATGAAACGCAACGATGACCTCGTTGGAGTGGAAGTTACGGCAAAACACATATTTGGGTTTAATTCGAGGGTAGGTCGCAGTGTTGGAGGAATATATATTCGCTTCCCTCAGCTGAGCTCGGGAGGTTCCTCACGAGTGTATGAAATTTAAGTTGTTTTCCACTGCAGCATGAGAATATGCACATGTACGTGCTGATGACGATAAGAGAATTCGATTTTTTTTTCAAAAATTTTCGTTGGTTTTTCATGCACTTTCACCCCAATTCGTGTGTAAATTTTCACAACGTAGCTTTGGGAACTCAGCAGCTAAGGAAACCAACATATCGTCAATGTTCACAGTTCACTAAAGTATGACTCTATTTCGGTGCAGTTCAAATGGAATGTGTGTGGGGGGAATATTCACATCGTTAAGTACATGTGTTGGTGACCATTATGCAATTGCAAATTATGGGAAATTGTAATTAAATTTGAGGGAATTCTTATTGGTTTCTTTACACTTGTATTCAAGTTTCCGTGATTGATGATAAAACTCCCGAACTGAGCTGAGTAAAGCCAACATATATTCCTCCTCCAGCACTGCATATCATCAGGAATACGAATATATTATATTTTCGCAGGTCCGCAATCATCCGATTTTCGTAGACGAAGTTACGGTAGCATATGCGGCTGCTCACTACGTGATTATTCATAATACCGAGACCAACACTCAAAAGCTTCTACCAAATCACAGTGGTTCTATTGGTGAGTATTGAAGTTTCCTTCTAGTGATATAAAGAAAAACATATTTCATAATTCACATCGCGAAATTCACAGGTGGAAAACGCGTAGAACACCTATGGTGTTTTCCGATCACGGTGTATTATCTGTTATTATTAATGATGTTATTGATACAGATATCACTATTATATAGATATGGATATTGAATAATAATGTTATATAACTATCCACCTTCACTATATTATTGCCTATATAATTTATATATAGGCAGGCAAATATTGCAAATATATTGCCTATATATAGGCAATATATATAGGATATTTATATATATATTTAAATGTCTATATTGGAGTTTCACCACCCTAGTGATATGAAAAACACTAACGAAAAACATATTCCACGACTACTGCATATCACCGCGGATTTCGCCGTTTTTACCGAGTTCTAAGCCACTTCACGTAAAGCGGGCGAAACTCTATTATAAATAAAAATGTATGAGGTAATATAAAACTTGAGGTACTATAGCATTATTATAACCCCTTTTATTGATGTATGGTATCATTTTATATAATTATTAATATTAATAAGTATGATATCATGATATTTAATTCACTTCATATCGCGTTTTCCACAAGGAGTATTACACCACTTCACGTAATACGGGTGAAACTCTAATGAGTGCGAAATAAATGTTGATTGTTTTGACTGGGTGAGATTTCACAATTCGAATTTTTGCATTGAGTGGAAAAATTATGTACCAGTTGAATTGTCTTGAAAAATCGTTAAATTAGGAATGCAACGTGATATTTCACATAACTTTACGTGAAATATAACACGTGATATTTAACGTAAAAATGGAATATTTCATTCAGGAGTGACATGTTTGGCACTGTGTCCGGAGAACAGATATTTAGCGGTCGCAGAAAGCTTCCTCGTCAATCGCCAACAAGAAAGGTGGGTCTGGAAAAAATTTTCACGGAAAAGTAGAAAGAAGAAAATTTTAATCGGAAATTCGAAACTATTTTGATACGCTGATTTGCATTTCTCCGTTGTTGTGGTATACACGAATTTGCATTCATCTCGTTGGATGAGAAATAGTAGTTTCCCATTTTTGTTGCTTATTGGATTTCCACCCGTGATGTGAAAAACATATTTCACAATTCACTCGACGGAAAACAACTGTATTATCGGTCGTGGAAATATACACGTCTTATAGAAGTATTAATTTACAAGAAGTATTACATAACTTCACAATAACGAGTGAAACCTCATTGATCAATTTCAGAGGGCCAGAACTTGGTACGCCGCAAACTCCTATTGTAACGATATACGATTTGCATACTCCCAGTGGTGTGGTGAAGAAACGTCGCGTTATTAATATCACTCCAAAATATGTTGGCGAATCTGAGGTGAGTTTCATAGAAATCTTCGCTGTGCGTAGATGCTAGTGAAAAGGGTATCTCGTAGTTGGGGGGAAGTGAGAGAAATCTTGTATGGTGTTTGGAAGTTTTGAGAGAATTAATTGTAGCTGTATTGGTTGCATAAGATGTCTCGAATTCATTGTAGCTGTATTGGTTGCATAAAATCTTCGAAATCAATTGTAGCTGTATTGGTTGCATAAAATGTCCCAAATTTTATTATAGCTGTATTGGTTGCATAAAATTCCCCAAATTAATTGTAGCTGTATTGGTTGCATAAAATCCCCCAGATTAATTGTCGCTGTATTGGTTGCATAAAAGTTCCCTCTCCCTCCTCAATTTCAGGCTGCCTCCAAGCATCCTTCTAATCCGCGTTCACCATGGTCGACCTCGGGCTGTGTCACTGGAATGTCATTTCCATCTGATAGCAATTCTCTCATTACTGTTGCTGTCACTCCCACTCCCACTACTACCGCGATGGGTACCTGGATTGCAAATTGGTGTTTGGATAAAGTCCCAGTTGGTGCCTCGAGACTACTTGCATGGTCTAAGGTGAGGAGTTCAGCTCATGAATATTCTGACTGTGTGATTTTTAAGATTTTTCCGCGAAATTTGTGAATGTTTTTGAGATTTTATAGAATCACTAACGCACGTGGAATTTTTTCGTCGATCGAAAAGGAAAGTTTTCTTTGCAGATAGCAGCACCGGTAGCGGCAGCAAACAAGAGAATGTCCATCAGAGGGCTGTCTGCAGAAGGTTCGGTGGTCGCGGGGACGCGGTTCCCGTCAGTAAGCGAGAGGTCTCGGGTTCGATCCTCGCAATGTGCTCATTCATAATATTGGGGTTTCGCTCGTTAATTGTGAAGTGGTGTAATACTCCACGTAAATTATAGAAAGTATATGTTTCCGCGACCGATAAGTGTGAAATATGCTTTTCATGGAAGTTTCACCCGTGATATGGAAAACACTAGTAAGGAATATTTTTCGCGACTACTGCAAGTGCTAATATCGCGTTTTTAACAGAGTATTACGCCACTCCATGAAAAACGGGTGAAAATATAATGTTTTCTAAATCGGATAACAAAATTTTGGGGAGCTTTTCGTTGGTTTTTGTACACTTCTACCTCAAGGCGTGCATAAATTCTCATAATATAGCTTGAGAGCTCTCGAGCTCAATAGTTGAGGAGAGTCAAAACATATTCTAATGTTTTACATTCATGAATGAGAATTTCTCCCCAGGCTGGTGATGACGCGATTGCGGTTGTCGATGAGGTTGCGTGTCACCCCACAGATAGTAGCAT